CCTGGAGCTTCAAACACTTACAATCAAGTTTCAGTGCTTGAAAGCACTTAAAATTAGAAACCACACTACAACAGAATACCTTTACCATAGTGTTTAAATAGACTTTTGTGGGCTGAGGGAAGACAGCCACATCCTGAGGACTAGCAAGAGAAGAAATCCCATTAACATGGTTCAGAATTCAGATGCAGAGCCTTCCCCCCTCTTCCCCATCCTAAAATACAAAGGCATCCTGCCCTGCTTGTTTGCAGACTATTAGTCTTATGCTTTGAACATACCTTTGAAAACCTTGCTTTATCTGTCAGAAGTGTGCAGGTACTTTTATATGCACTGTTACTCACTACGTGTCATGGTGCTTGGCTGGAAATGATTCTAATTAGCCATGGCATTTCTTACCAGTTTTCAGCCTCCTCTCCACGCTGGCTTCATGTCCACGGCTTCACATCCTGGAGGTAGGTGGAAGAACAGTATTGCTGAGATTAACTAGTGTTTTAAAAATAATTTTCGATTTTTAACTGATTTTTATGCAATTTCTTGGAAAACATAAGATCTTGCTAAAAACACTACACAAAACTTGAATTAAACTACTGGGTTTCCAGTGTTGTACCTTTCTAGATTCTTTCCATTGATCTGATCCCACACTTTTATCTGCCCAGCAGTTGTGCCGCATTTGCTCAGAAGCTTTCAGATATTTTTATATTTATAGCTGAGAGGAATTACGTGAACTGCACAGTCACACACAGGCTTTTCTTCTGAGACTGGCACTCGCTCGTCAGGCTTTTCCAGAGGATTAGTGTGAAGTTATTTAAAGCAGTTGCCCTTCTCATGGAATGTGTTTTGGGGAAAAAAAAAATGAAGTAGGTCCTTGGAGTATATGCAAACTATCAATGAAACTGAAGGAGCCTTTAATTGGAAACTTCAGGTTAACGAGGAACTACAGTTGAGCTTCAGCAAATGGGTGCGGGTCTGTAATTGTAATACAGTTGTGACCATGCTGAGAATAAATGGCAGTGGAAAATCTCTGGCTGCATTTTTAGTATTCAAAGTTAGGAGTTTATGAGAAAAGAATAAAAGATCGAGTATTTGTAGCTTTGCCTGGCAGCAGCTAAAAGAAGAACATCATTTATCTGCAAGCAGAGCTTGGTAAAAATTACTCAGCACTTAGTAGCCTGAGGATAGAGCCTGCTAGCCAAGATGAAAACCAGCTGTGCCACTATACTCTCTAAGGCAGGAGAGAGGCTGATTTTCCCTTTAATTACAGTTCCTGAGCCAGAAAGGGGGGGAAAGATAGGAACGTGTAGACTTTTCAATCTATATCACATTTCCTGCGGGTGCCAGAGGGAGACTGGAGTGTCTGACCTGTAGGGTAACTCTTTAATTATCTGTATTTATGGATTCAGTCCCCAAGTACTGTATCCTGCATAATATGGGGCAGGGAGGGATCTGCTTGCTTTTAGCAACTTCTACAACTCCTGTCCTTTCCTCCTTTTCCTCATTTCCCTGACTTTGTGTAGCTCCTCTTCTTTCCTGCAGCAGCAATCCCAAACCATCCCATGAGTATCCTCTTTCCCAGTCTGCTACTAATTCATTAATGAGTTTGGTTAGGCAGGTGTTTGGGACATAATTAGGCTGTAAAGTTAATAGCACAATCAAATAAGCATAGGCTGAGACGTTTGTATGTCTGTTAGCTATTATTGAGGCTTTCTGCAGATGTACAGTATAATTTCAGTGAGCAATATACTTAATGCAGCGCCCAAGATCTTGTTTTAAATTAGCATTTGAACCACACTAGTATTTAGGAGCTTACTAGGGCAACAGAGGGTGGGGAAAAGCAAAAGTAAACAAATATCCTTGGCCTGGATTGCTTACGAAGGACCTGACTCAGTGTTTTAAGTATCATGTATGCCTGGAGCTGTCTGGTAACAGTTTAACATGTGTATTTCATTCCAAAGTAATACTGCCATGATTTTGTTTAATTTAATCCACTCTGGATTAAATGAAACAGGAACAAGATGTATCTTCTTTTGGAGTAAGCAGGACAAGCTCTGTTTACATACAAGAGATTTCAAGCCTCTCTGGCAGGTTCCTTAATGGAAATCCTGTAATGCACCACTGGTGAGCTCAGCCATCCAATCTGTATGGGAGAAGGCTGAGAATAGATACAACTGTCATTCCTTCCCTGGCCATCCTCAAGCAAAAGAAAATACAATGAAGCTGATTTACTAGTGCAACTTACTCTGCAGCTGCAGCCCTTAAAAATTATCCTGATCTGGTCATTTTTTCTTTATGAGGTTAAGGAGAGAGCTCTGAGACACCAAGAGAGGTACTGGGGTTGCTGCGTGGGCAGCGGAAGACAGTGCTGCACTGCATGTAGTGCACAGGTAGATGGTGACATTTGCAACCAGTCTAGAAACCCACTTGAATGAGAACATGGACCTTTCTGGAGTTGGTATGTTGGGGTCTCTGCCCCCTAAAAAGAGAAACCTACTTCTGTTTATTAAGAAATTGAGTGCTTGACAGCAGCAAAAGGTGACTGTAGTGTAACTAACATGATTACAACAGGAGGACATAATTGGGGGAGCCATTGATGGCAGCTCAGGTCAGTGCTGGGAGCCACCCCAGCCCTCTCTTCCCTCTGCCTTTTCCAAAGGCCCTATGGCCTGCAAGAGGAAGCACTAGGGGACATTTCTACAGCGCAGAGTGCAACTGCACCAGAGCCTCCTGTTCAGTGCTCCCCAGCTCTCCTTCTAGACCTTACAGGCTCTGTTCCATAGATGTGCTTCTTGCTCACAGTTAGGAAGCTGTGTGTCTCTCCCCTTCGCCCATCTTTTCTTGGTCAGTTGACTTAAGTCCAGTTACAAACCTAATAAGGCACGTGCTAAGAGGTCTGTGATCTTGCTAGTTCCCTGTCTACTATTTCTTCTGCCTTTGAAAAGAAGACAGAGGTTCGTGCCTACCTCTCTGGGAGAGCCTACCTTGGCTGTTCTTGGGAAAGGCAAACTGCAAAGCTTGCAGGACAGAAGCCCAGCTCATGTGTTTGTACAGAGCCTCAGCACCTCTTCAGTTTGTGTGAAACAATAGACTCGCACAGTAAAAGCACATAAAGGGAGGGAGTGTGTCTCCACAGAGGCAGTCCAGCAAATCAAATACACTATAAATGATGCAGAGCAGCCAAAGTTTGGTTTTATCCCCACTAAGAGCCCCATGAATTACACTACAGCCTAAGGCTGGAGCTAAGTGCTGTGAGTAGAAATCAGTTCTTGCTGGTTTTACCTGCAGCTCTTCAGGTCTCTCAGTCTCCAGCCATGCACACACGGAGGACATACAAACTCACCCTCAGGCCCTTGAATAAACCGGTGATGAATTTTCACAGTTTCCTGTTTTGCACATTGAGGCCATGTTTTATTTGCCATGGCTATCCCATTTGGGCTGAAGGCTTCAGATCTTTCCTACCTTTGAAAGAGGGAGGTGGTACATCTGAACTTCATTTTCGTTTCTGTTCCTGTATGCATTATGTTACCCCATGCTATGTGACATACTTTGCCTCGCACACTGTGTATAACCTGTTACACTTCCCTGCATCCTTCTTCTCCTCCCATCATCTCTCTGCTTTATTTGAAAAGATCCACATCATCCAGCTGCTAATACACCCTTCTGCCAGGGGAGTGGACTCCTCGCATTCTGCCCCGCTGTTGACCTGGACATGCCAGCTTACAGACCACCCAGTGCAGTCGGAAAAGAAAGCCTTCCTCTTCCCTTGCCTAAACACACAACGAAGCTCAGCGAAATGGGGTTTGGATCTGAGGGGATCCCTTCTACTGTCCAGATATCTGTGGCTTTGTTGTGCTGAACGGACTCCAGCATAAACAAGCCACTGGCACTGGCCATCAAACCTCTGTCTCTGGGAATATCTGCACTGTTCATGTTCTGAGCTCATAACGAAGGCTTCACTAGTAATGGGAGGGGGGAGTATATTGCTAAAGAATGCAGTCTGCAAAGTTCATGCCAGACTTGAGAGCACAAAACTTAATGCAGGCTCAACTGGTGGGGTTGAGTTACTAAAGAACACCGAGGCATTAGCACAGCTTAGACCACCTTTGCTCAACACACTGCCATTGCCATTAAATCTTTGTCTAGACGTGACCATGGGATTGGGGTGTGCTGCTGGGCTCTCAGCGTTGGGTTCACAAGGATTGAGCAAACCACATCCTAACATCCTGGCGCTGCATGAAACTGGAATAACACCGGCGACATGAAAATAGCGTGTGAAAAGCCCAGACCTCCCACTGCACTATAGTAACTCCTTTCAACGTTCCTTGTGCCGTCCAAAATACTCACATGAAATTTCTCCCCGGAGTCACTTTACTCTGCAGCAAAGCGAGCAATTAGTTTTAACGGCGTTAAATACATCTCCTTATGATGCACGAGTTCCACCACCAAAGCAAGCGCTCGGGGGGTGTCAGGGCAGACCACCTGCCTCGTACGCAGGGCTCCCGCCCCGCCTGCCCTTTGTTCAGCCTGCCCGGGAGCGCGGTGTGGGGCCGAGCAGGGGGCCGCGGAAGGAAATTAGCGCGGTGGAGGCAGCCGGCGACAAGGAGCCCGCTCTGTATTCGAGCGAGGGATACCCCATTGCCCAGGTGCCCCATACCCGTAAACCAGGCGGCACAGCCCGGCCGGCGGCGGGTCCGCCTTGGCCTCCGCGCCCGCGGCACGGAGCGGCGGAAATGGTGAACGGGGATGGCTGGGAGAGCCGCGGGGCTGCGCACAGCGCAGGCTGGGCACGGTTCTGAGGCCTGGGGGGTACGGGGTCAGCCCGGTGCGGGGCGGCTGCCGGGACCCCACTGCCGCGGGGGATCAGGGACAGCCCAAGGGCAGACTCGCCCATAACCAAAATGGCCGCTGCCCCTTCACGGGCCGCGCCCTCATTGTCTCACGCCCGCTTCGCCCCGCCCACTCTGCCCATCCTCCCGCCGCCAGGGGGCGCGCAAGGCAGGTGGCGGCGCTCCGCCCGCCCTGTTCTACGGCGCGGCGCTGCCGGAAGCGCGGCTCGGTGGCTGCCGTGTGAGGGAGGCGGCATTCGGCGGGGCCGAGGCGGCACTGCCCGGGCCGGCGGGGAGCAGGTGGGGAGGGGCGCGGGCAGCGGCAGGTGCTGGCGGGAGGGGCAGGGGCAGCGCAGGGGGTGACCAGGCCCCCGCTCCTCCACCCGCCCCAGGGCGCTGGGGGTCCCAGTGGCACCAGCTCCCCTGGCGCCCGGGCAGTGTCGCCGGCGGTGCTCCACCGCGCCTGGGGCCGGGGCTGCTGTGGCGGGGCACGGGCAGTCGGCACCGGCCGGCGGTGCAGCAGGCCTCGCTCGGGACAGGCGGGTGCTGCGAGCCCGGCCCTCCTTGCGGGTGTTTGGCTCCGGCAGGTGCGGCGAGGGCGGAGGCTGCGGTCGGTGAGTGCTGCAGGAGGCGGCGTTGTGCCCGCAGCTGGTGCTGGGCTGGTGGTCTCTGGGAGGCCGCCGCGTTGAAGTCGTGCTCTTCCGCCATGCCCGGTGCCAGGGGCTGGGCTGTCTTTCGGAAGGTGCAATAGAACCACGCTTCCTTTCTCAGTGGCTGTTGCCTGTTGATCGCCCACCTGCCTGCGTTTCTGGCACCACAAGGGGTCAGTTGCTATTGCCGTGTTGGGAAAACCTCTGCTTTGGGAGCAAAGCTCCCATCACCTCTAACAGCAGCTCCTGGGAGGCCCTGCTGGCACAGGAGGTGCCGTAGGGTGCGCGGATCGTCAGGAACTGCCTGACTCGTGGCCGTGGAGTGACAGGGTTTAGTGTCTGTGTTTCAGGTGGATGCCCCATACATGGTGTCATCACTCCGCAACGAAGCTAACCTGAAATCCCAACTCTTAACACCGTTTATGGTAGCAAACCCAAGTTGTTCTTAACGACCAGTCCCTCTGGCTTTCTCTGCTGAGCTCCTCTCCGCCTCAAGGTGCGCTGTGTGTTGCATCTAATGTTCATGTTTACAATTAATTGAAAATAAGATATTAAAGGGTTATAACATTGGTAATGCTTTTATCTCATGAAACATGTGTGATCCTTACATAGTGTAGTTGTGTGATAGTTTATTCACATTGGAAGAACTTGGGTGGATTTTAGCCACACTGAGGCATGTTTTGGAGTGCTGTGAAAAAGTAAAGAAGCCAAGCAACAGTTTTGCAAAGCTGACATGTTCCTGTGTGACTCACGTTCCACTGGCTGCTGTTGCCCCTTCGTTGTTCAAAGCTGGTTGCACACTGGAGTTGTAGTTACCTGTTTGTAACAGAACAGTTAACTGACAAAGGTAATTAAATGAAGTGTGAGCAAGGATTTGTATGGAGCCTACTAAAAGGCAGCATTCTGCTCCTTTGCAGGGCTCCTGTTGACTAGTGGGTTGTGCAATTGGCATATTCACATTTAATAAAAACATCGGCTTGTAACATGTTTAAATATAGGACACTTTGGCGAGAGAAGGGGCACTCTTTTAGGTAACTAATTCTTAAAAGAAGCAGTGGAAAGAAGTCAGGAAACTGTAACAGAGCAGCTCTCTCTCCAGAAGGCCCCACCACCGCTGACCTCTGAGCTCCTGGCAGGGCTTGAACTACAGACACGGGTGTGCGGCCTGAGCAACGGCTTTGCTGGAACAGCTCTGTTGGAGAGCTGAGACTCACATGTTGTTGCCTCCTGAAGCCTCAGGTCACAGCTGGAAACAGCCACCATAAAGCAATTCTCCAGTTGCAAAAAATGGTTGGGGGTGGGCAGGTTTTTTTCCATACTTTTCATGAAAACTGAGGTTTTTGCTCTGTCCTCTTGTTACTAAAGATCATTTGCTGACTTCCATAGACAGCCTGGTATTGAGGATCTTGCCCCCAGCCTTTGATCTCAGCCTGCTATTGAGGATCTCACCCCTAGCCTTTGATCACAGCCTGCTTATAGCACATATGCCTCGGTCAGTGTTTTCCAAAAGCCTCTGCAGTCACTGTGTTTGTTTTACCGGTTTTGTATGCAAGGAAGCAGCACAAAAATCTGTGTCAGCCTCTTCCTGACAGAGGCTGTGGGAGGAAGGAAGGGTTGGCAGGCACACGGGATATTTGTCAGATGGAGAGAAGGTAATTTGGGGGGAAAGAGCATGCTGCTGGAGGAGGTTACCTGACATAGCTTCATTCTGTGGCTTGGAGAATTAAGGAATGGCTGCTTTGAAGGCAGCTAGGGGCTCCTTGTGCGTTAAGGCAGTGGCTGTCATGATTCCTAACTGCTGACTGTGCTTAGTCTGGATTAAACCTCTGGACTAGGTATCTGCATGACTGGGGGTACTGGGAGAGCCTGGGTTTGGTAGCCAGGTCAGGGACTAGTTGTAGATGCTGTACTGACTGGTCTGTTTGTCTGTGTTATCAGAGCTGGTGGTGTCTTGTGTGATGCTGACACAGATGCCAATGCAGTCGTAGGGGTTCCTGTTGATCCGAACCCTTTTGTGGACATACAGTTTCCTTTACAAAATAAACAATGGGGGTTTTACCCTTGTCCTTAAACTTAAGGAGAGGATCCTGACAGAGGGAAATTCTTCATGGCTTTTTCATGCTTTGCAGAAAATGCTCTGAAGGCAAACTGGACAACACCTGCTGGAACTAAATCTGCCCAAAAAAACATCTTCCTTCACCCTGAGGCCTGTTTGTCATAAAGAGGGAACCTCTACAACGGTCAAACTCTGCAAGTGATGGGCTCAGAGAACAGTGCTTTAAAGAGCTACACACTGGAAGAGCCGCCATTCACACTGCCAACGGGACACACAATTTATCCAGCTGTGCTGCAAGATGGCAAACTTGCTTCGGTTTTTGTGTATAAGAGAGAGAATGAAGATAAGGTTAATAAAGCTGCCAAGGTACTGTGGAGAGTGGGCCTGGGACAGGCTTGTCAGAGCATTCCCTCCTTTTTCTTGGAGGCGTGGGAGTCATTTCATGAGGGTCAAACCCTTGGGCAGTAAAGAGCAGGAGAAAAGGTCGAAGTTGTCGCTGGCTGCAGAGAGCTGCCATGCAGGGGGACAAAAGGGGTGGCAGCCAGAAAACTCAATGTGCGCTGCATGATGTGAGCAGCAATGGGAAGTGCTGTTCAGACAGCAATACCTTACTGGTCTCTTCCTGCAGATGTAAGTTGGAGAGTGTTATTTAGGTACATCTACCCCAAATACTGTATTTATTCTGTGTAAGACTGGCTGTATTTAGGTGTGTTTAAGTTCTGGAATGAGTGGTTGTGCTGAGTGCTTGGTCAGGAGCAGGGATGGGCTGTCTGAAGGCAAGCAGAAACCGTGGCTAAAAGCACAAGGCTAAGTTCTGCAGCAGAGAGAGGTGCTTTGGGTGAGATTTAACAGATGTCTTTGTTTCTGGAAGCACCTGAAAACCTTGCGCCACCCTTGCCTTCTGCGCTTCCTATCTTGTACTGTGGAAGCAAATGGGATCCACCTGGTTACAGAACGTGTGAAGCCTTTGGAGATGGTCCTGCAGACACTCTCTTCTGCAGAAATCTGTGCAGGGATCTACGATGTGTTGCTGGCGCTCATCTTCCTCCATGACCGGGTAGGTACCACCAGCAGAAGTCACCAGGCTTTGGTGGGAGCCAGACGAAGTGTGACAGGAAAGTGTTGTACCTGGGCTTGCCTGGATAACTGTTTCATTCCTGATACCTCAGAAAGACATACGCAAACACCCCACAGTTCTTTTAGGCTGAAGCTGCTAAAATTGTTGGCTGCTTTGTAGGAGGAAGGGTAATTGAAAATGGGTTTGTAAATAACGGAGCAGTTCTCAATTCATGAATTGACATCTGCTTCCAGTGCTGCTTTAGGGAAATGGAATTGCTTGGCCTTGGCATTTATTTACAGCTGTTGCCACATGTCAGAGATTGGTGTCACCACTCCCCTGTTTTGGTACTGTGTGTTAATCCAGGACTGCATCCAAATCCTGGCTCAAACTGTAGCCTTTAGGCTTTGTGTTCATAGTTGGAGGGCTTCTCTGGATTAAGAGTTGCACTGCAAGGGCTGTGACAACTAGAGCTTTGTCTGCTCTAAAAAAACAGCCCTTCTACCTCATACCTGCAAGTTCCTGAACAACCTTCAATATTGTGTGCTTTTTGACAGCTTTCTCTCAGCTCCTCCCAGTTCCTAATTAGTGCTGATTGAGATTTTACATCTTCATCTATTCCCAAGTCTGTTATCTTTTTATGTTTTAGGGAAACCTAACACATAACAATGTCTGTTTATCATCTGTGTTTGTAAGTGAGGATGGGCACTGGAAGCTGGGAGGAATGGAAACAGTCTGTAACTTCAGTGAAGCCACCCCAGAGGTAAGAGCCAAGAAAATGCACTCTGATGCCTGGGAGAGGGTTCCTGGCCTGCTGAAGCTGGCCACCTAGTCAAGAGAAGGCCCAAGTCCTTCCAGTTACCTGAATTTACTCTTAAGTGTGTTGGCTTGCTTTCAGCTTTGGCCTGAACCTTTACTCTAAGAGCAAGGTAACTATAAACCACAATGTCTATACAAACAAAAACTAATTCCCCATTAGCCAGAAAACAGGTACTTTTCTAAGGGCGACTGCTGGCTGGTAGGTTAAGATTGAAGAGAGTGAGAAATCTTTGCTCCTCTGGACTGATTTAAAACAACTGGGGGAGGGGGGTAAATAAAAAATAAAAAGCTTTAGCATGAAGCGGGAAAATCCAGATTGAAATGAGTCAATGAGGAAAGGAATTTCAGTGATGCCTTAGCTTTCGCTGCTGGCATCTTCATTGCTTGCTAGTGGTCTTAGAAAAATTCCTGATTTGATTTTTGCTGCATGCTTTGCAGAGTCGTTGCTGCAGCCTGGCACTGCATTGTAAATGTATATTGCCTTTTCTCCCAGAGGATATACAAATCCTTCACTACCTGTACTGAGTGTCCCTGGCATGTATTGCCTTCCAGAAAGGATCAGGCAGGCACACAACTGGCCTGCGTGGTGGTGCACAGCAATGCAATGCAAAGAGCACAGCAGTAAGACCTGACTGCTAAAGCTCATTAAAGACCTTTCCTGTCCAGATGGATCATGTGGGACAGTAGGACTGAGGACTAAAGGAACAAGTTGCCTGTGATGCCCTGAAGTTGCTTTCTGTCAGCTTGGTGCTTCACACCTGGTGCTCTTGTGCTTCCCCTCCGGGCACAGCAAAGTGCCTCCTGAAAGTGCAGGGGAGAACATGCTGCTGCTGCTGGGCACAGGTAAACAGTCAAGGCAGTTCATGTCTCCCCTCTTCTCCTTCTAGTTCCTCTGCCATGTCAAGTCGGTACGAGACCAGTCATGCATCCCTTGCGAGGAGATGGTGAGTAACATCACTACTTGGAGGAACTTCTTGCTGGCAACAAATAAAATGGTGATGTTCAGGAAATAATCCTTATTCACACATTTTGTTTCCATATGCCTGAATAGGAGGTTGGTTATTGGATAGTATGTGAGGTTTACTCTCTTCCTTTTTTTCCCCTCTTCTATCCCATCCCTGTTTTGGGAATTATGTTGGGCACAGGAAAGTGACATTCTGAATGAGGAGTGATAGGGACAGCAGGTTCTCATAATATTTTTCAAACACTTTGTGTTGCAGCTTTAATGCTTCTGAATTACCAAAGCTTTGCAAAAATTACAGAGCAGTTGCTGAGATTGCCCACATCACTGTGGTCTCACTGCTGTGTACTTTCAAAACAGCCTCTTCTCACTTGTTAGTCACCTCCTATCCATTAAGCATCCTCTGAGCTGCTTATGCTAAAGGAGCACTCTTTCTCTCTCCAATTATCACCTGTCTCCATAGAAATGCTGGAAGCTGCTGACCTGCAGGCGCTGCATGCATTCACTGGGGGATTGTTTCATCATGAAGTTGCTCCTTTGGGTTATAAATTCTCCCCATGGAGGTTTTTTTAGCATAATATTCTACTTGTAGGGTACTCAGTGTAGCTTTGGTGCTATAAAAAAACTGAAGAGTGCATACGGCGGGGGGTGGGAATTAAAACTCCTGGAAACTACTGAGCATTTCATAAACTCCTGCTTTGCTGATCTTCTGTGTTTGTTTTCAGTCTGCAGATTTCAAAATTCTGCCCAGCAGCTATGGGCATGCGAGGGATGCCTTCGCTTTTGGAACAACAGTTGAGAACCTCCTCGCAGTCCTCAGTGATCAGGGTGAGGAATGACAAGTGTTTATTTTGCTATCCACAGGGCTCTGTAACCTACTCCTTGCATTAGTTGAGCCATTTTGATGCAGCTGCAGATGTGCTACACATTCAGTGGCCATTGGTATTCTTTGTGTTTGCTGAATTAAAATGCAGAGTTCAGCTTCTCCTGTATTCCCCTTTCCCTGTGTTTGGACGTGCTCAGATATGACTGAAGGTCACCAGTTTGTGTAACATAAGCACTTACAAACCTGCTCTGCAGCAGTCAGCTCACCTGGTCATGCCCCACCAGCCACTTCACCAAGGGTTATGGATGCAGGAGCATGGGTGTTGTGTACTGCAGCTGAGCAGGGGCCCTATAGCAGGGAGGGAACAGGAAACTTCTTGGGAAGACAACAGCACTCCTTGGTGCCCCAGAGGCCAAACAGCTTTGTAAGAGAAATAGAAATGCTGTTTTCCCTTCCTTTAGGCCAGGTATGAGCAACTTTGCTATCAAATAGAGCTAAAAATTATGGTTTTGGGAGGACAGAGGACTACTGAACACAGCTTGTTTAGTGTTGAGAGAGAAATCTAACTGTAGGTGCTCTGAATTTCAGTTTCAGCAGATATTCTCTCCAGCTTTCAGCAAACCTTGCACTGTACACTGCTGAATCCAGATCCAAAGTGTCGTCCACCACTGTCCAGCTTACTGTCTCATGATTTTTTCAGGTAAGGAAAGAATATCCTTCTTCTCTTGGTGTGTCTTGATACTTCTTGTGTCTGTGTTGTAAATGTGTTCATTTTGTGAAGGTGTGTTACTTTTCAGACGGGAAGTGCATACTTCATCCCTGCCTCTTACAGAAAAAAAGACTTCTTAAATTAAGAAAGCATTATCAGCCTTCCAAATGAGGTCCTGAGCTGGCACTGGTGGCAAAAGCGTGTCCCTTAGTCACATGCAGTCAGTTGGATGTCCCCGCGCTCATGGGAGGTAGTGGGAAATGCTGTAGATAATAAAGTCTTTAGCAATGCTGCTGGAGCAAAGCAGGCTCTGAGATAATCCACAGAGGGCTGTGCCTGCTGTCCCCCGAGTGCTTCTCTAGGCAGTGGCATTCATACAGGGTGGCACTTGGTTCTCGTCATTGCCCTGGCCAGGTGGTCAGATGTGGCTGGTGCCATGCTGTGAATTGCTGACTTCAAAGCGCAGCACTGTGCAGAGGCAGCTTTCGGGTGATGGGTCACACCTCCATGCTGATGTCCTTGGTCCACTGGCATTTGACTTGGATCCCTCTGTCTAGTTCTGCCTGCTAAAAGGAGGACGGGGATTTGCAGTCTCTTCGTTGTGAGTGGTTTAGTATCAGTAAGGATCACACTTGACTGCCTATGTTTTTGTACTTAGGAATGATTTTCTGGAAGTTGTGAATTTTCTGAAGACCTTAACACTAAAATCTGAGGAGGAAAAAACGGAGTTTTTCAAGTAAGTGAAGGAACTATAATCTGGAAGCTTCTTATTTCAGGAATTTCTTATTTCAGACTGTGGGAGACCTGGGAAGACTGGGAGCCAGAGAGGTACTTATGTGGGTGATTTTGATTGCTTTGGCAGAATATTTTTTGCTCTGTAAAATTCTGGGTACTTGAGCCAAAATAATGTTTGCATCAGAGAAGAAATTTCACTCCCTCCTTTACCAATTTCTCGTGAACAGTTTGGTGTTTGGGAGGAGCGATGCCTGCTGGGCTCTGCATCATTCTGATACTCGCCAGCCTCTGGCATAACACTGCACAGCCACATGGACAGTGGAGTTTTTACCTGTCACAGATCAATTGCTGTCAATGGAGAACCAGTCAGAAACTGGACTGTAGTGACATGTGCCACTTCAGGGATGCTTTTCTGAATCTGTCTGCTTGCTAGCAGCTGGGTTGAACTCTACAAGGCCAAGAGCAGCAGCTTTCTCAAGAGTACAGGCATATGAAAATGAAAGAATTTTTCCATTGTCCATATTCTAATTGAGTTAATGCACTTTGTGGGGCATAATACTGATGGTATTAGCGGAAGTTAAATTATTCAGGTTCCCTTCCACCAGCTTTAGCTTCGCTGTTCCATCTCCCGCTGTACCATGGCAGAGCAGGAATCATTTGTAAAGCTGATCCATGTGCTGTAGTGTTGCAATAGAGGAAAGAGGGTGGCCTAACAATGTCTCTGGCTCCTGTTTTGTGTTACCTTTGCCTGAAAGCCTCAGGCAGAGCAGAGCCTTATCCTTCTCTGTTAGAGTGCATGCAGAGTGAGAAGCTGCGATGGGCTGCTGTCTCTAGGGATGAGGCAAGCACAGAAAGAGGGGAAAGTCATACGAAGGGAAACAGTCATAAATGCATGAAGGCTGCCTTGATGCTAATTGCTGTCTCCTGGAACACAGATTCCTGCTGGACAGGGTGGCTGGGCTGTCAGAGGAGCTGATAGCATCACGGCTAGTGCCTCTTCTACTCAATCAGCTCGTGTTTGCAGAACCTGTAGCTGTCAAGAGTTTTCTTCCTCATCTGCTGGGTCCAAAGAAAGGTGACCTTTAAATACTTTCTCTTCACAATTATTACTGACATGTTTGCAATGAATTCAGAGTGGTCATTCCATTCAATCAAGGGAATAGTGGCATTTATTGAACCAGAACAAATACCATAACATACAGAACGGGAGAGGACAGTTACGTGTGTTTCTCCATTTGCAGTACTTGCCACTACTCTGCTGATGCTAGGAGGAGAGTTAGGAATTGCTTGGGCATTTTCCCAGGTTTACATGTCACCCCACCCTCCCAGTCCAGGTTTTCCTGGTTGCTCACTGCATACCCCTCTTCCCACTTTTCCCTTACCCTAGCTGCTCCTGTTTCTTCTGCCACTGCACTTTCTCCTGTAATGGGTGCTCAGTCTCTTCCCCTTTCCTCTGTAAGAGGGGTTCAGCATGTCTTGCTGGGATCTCCAGCTCTTTGTCCTGGCTCTTTGCCTCCTCTCTGTTAATGTTTTTCCTAAATAGCTATGGGGATTTCAGTCAAACAGTACCTGTCTTGTGAGTGACATTCAGTGTTCAGAGTCATGACCGTTGAGCAGTGGACATTGGCACTGGCCTCTTGTGCCTCCCATCTCTGACATCCCCATCAAGCTGTGTTGGCAGCTGACAAAGAATCCGACCCAGCAGTGGGGTGGCGCTGTACATATTGGCTCTGATGGTTTCCCAGTGAGTAGCTTTTGTGTGAGCTGTCACTTGCTGAAGCAGACTTTTCTTATCTTCACCTCTCTTCCCTAGAGCAAATTGGAGAAAGCCAGACCAGCTGCCTCCTCTCTCCAGCCTTGTTCCAGACACATGTTATTCCTGTGCTGCTGAAGCTGTTTGAGGTCCATGAGGAGCATGTTCGAATGGTGTTGCTGTCTCACATTCATGCCTATGCAGAACTGTTCTCTCGGGAGGAGCTGAAAAACATCATATTGCCACAGGTTAAGGACAGCAAAACAATAGGTCTTATATCCTAGAATATGGGATTTCTACTGCTTGGCTTGGTTCTTAGCTTGAAATTGGGATCTCATAGTTGGCCATAAACAATTTCCAGCCTCTTTTCTATGCAAGCCCCAGCCCTTATACCTCATCTAAATCTGGACTTCTGGTTTTGTAATCCCAGTGCCCTCTGAAACATACACCTCTTTTGCTGGTAACTGTTGGCCTTGACTGGCAACCTAACAAGAAGAGACTGTGTTCCTGTTTCACCCCACTGCTGTCAAGGATGGAGGAACAACAGGTGTAAGCTTTGGGTGCCTTGGCCTTGTGGTCAAGCACTCATCAGGCACTAGGATCTGTCACCCACCCTCTTTAGCTTGTCACACAAAGTGGAAGGCTGATTTTATGCTGCGGAATAATGTCCAGTATCTACTGAGAGCTGTGGGAGATGGTAGAAATGAAATGTGCCACCAGTATAACATTTTAAGGGGAAAGGAGTGAAAAAACAGTATTTTCTGTTCTTGGTCACATCATTCTGTTCTTGGTGTAGGTATTGCTGGGCCTTCGAGATACCAGTGACTCCATTGTTGCGATAACACTGCACAGCTTAGCAGTTCTTGTCTCCCTGCTTGGGCCTGAAGTAGTTGTGGGTGGAGAAAGAACCAAGATTTTCAAAAGCTCTGTACCAAGCTTCATGAAAACTGCGGATCTCTCCCCAGAAGGTAAATGATGCAATCAGAGTTGGATTCTTGTCTATTCTGTCAAAGCAACATGGGGGGAATTTCTTGGAGGATTTATCTGTTGCTATTGACAGATGAATCATGGGGGGGAAAGGCAAGCTAATCTGCAGCTAAACTGTAATTCTGGATTAGGTGCTGTTTGTGGATACAGAGTTGGTAACAGAAGTATTTTAAATATAGGAAATAGATGAAAGAATTTAAATCTCTTCATCATTTAAGAATCTCTGTAATTAAAGGAGATTGTTAAATATGTTTGGTGGAAAAACTGTACTGCTCCTCTAAGGGACTAATGGACTTACCCAGATAGTTGTTTAATATTCCCTCCATCCTTCATGTTTTAAAAACTAGTAAATGTCATCCTCTTCCCCCAATTTCTATCCATAGATTGGAAAAGGAATACGAACTTCCCTATTTTCTCAGCTCTCTGGAGACTTTTCAGCTAATCCAGATGAAGACAGTAGTCCCTACACCTGCTAGATAACTTGGAACCAAGCGTACTAAGGGAAAGCTTTTCTGGATATTGAAACTAAGAATGCTTGTAACTGGAGGGAAGAATCAGCATTTGTTGTACTTTAGTCATAGAGATACCAAATGAAATACATAAGAGATCAATTTAAGTATAAATGTTTTCTTCCTGATTATGTATGTACTAATAGCTACCACCCTTTATTAAAATCTGTGGATGGCTCATTGCATTACTGTTCTTTACATTATTTTAGTAGAGTATAGTAAATAAACTCTAAATGGATTGCATGGTAAAACCAGGTTTATTTTTCAGAATATATTTAAAATTAGACCTGATTTAAGTTTAGACAACAAAAAAACCCATCTTTGTCCTCAACAGTGAGTGGTGATCTGCAAAAAACAGTACTAAAGGCTGAACCTGTGAGGCTGCTCAATCTGCTTGCCTAAGCCCTGAGAAGGACATACCTTTTATCAGGGGCAGTCTGGGGAGGGGTGGGTTCTGTATATTAACTGCCATCCTTTCCAGAGCCACAGGCCATGTGTCTGGCTGCACTGGTAGCTCCCAGCCCAGGCAGGTGCAGCTGGCTGGGAGCACAGGTAAGCCATGTGGAAGCAGATGCAGCATTGACATTCTGGCCATGCTGTCCTGAGGTGGTGGCAACAGGGCCTCATGCAGCCAAGGCATCGCCACCACCACTGATCATACGCTGCAACTCCCTACAGTGAATTGGAACAAGGTGCTTGCCAAATGATTCTCAGAAACAAACCTCCCTTCTGCAGCTTCAAAGCGTGGCATCGATTGCCTACCACCCACCTCACCTCGGGTGTGATGAGGGAGCCTGTCATGCAGCCTTCATTCAGGGTAGGGACTCGGTACTGTAAGCTGCCTTGTTCATGCCCAAGCATAAAAGAGGGTTTGTGTGGTTGCATGAGTTTGCTTGTGCTTTGAATTGCTGTGGGTATCAGTACTGGTTTTGTATGAGAAGCAGGTAGCAGGGGATTTGTGATACCATTCAGTACAGAAGCTGGTATTTTGGATGCAGCCAGGTGGCAGGCAGCATTTTTTAAGCCTCTGCTCTGATCATAATCAGTTTGTTCATTGTGTAGTCCTTGAAAGAACATATCAGCAAAAACTGACCCTTTAGAGTTGTCTAAACTTTGTACTGGCAAGAGCTGCAGAGGGCAGGAACAGAGGAGTACTGTACTTGGTACAGATCAAGAAGCACAGCTGTTGGGTTGCTGCACCCATCTTCAGTCAGTATTCCTTGTCAGTGTTGTAAATAAGAACATTCCCATGCTGCAGGCAGGTTCAGCTAAGACTGACACCACACCTTGTGGACTTGGTATCCTCTTTTCTTTTATCCCTCCAGACTCGCCCAGTCATGTTGTAAGCAATCAGAGAAATCAGACCTCACGGCCTTTGAAGAACAATTCTGGTGTGTTCCCCATCTCTGGAAATGTACCTGTCAAGAAGCTTTCTGTGCAACAAGACAATCCACTGGCTTTAAAGACAGGTAAAACTTAGTCCTAGCTCTTCCTTTCCAGAAATCAAGTGTTCTACAAATGAAATGTTGCTTGAGAAGATGTTAATTTCCCCCTGTGCTCATCTGAAGGGTTCAGTGAACCAAGGGAACAAGAAGGAAGCAGAGTGTGATCCTTGACTTTCTAGGGAATAGTTACTTGTGAATTTGATGTAAACATACTGCTGCCTGGCCAGCCTTGAATTTCTGTTCCCTTACTGCTGGTTCTCTGCTGTGCTTCCCTCCCACGTCTCCCACAGCTTGGCAGATTCACCAGGTTTACAGGTCACTCTGGCCTCTGAAGCTAATTGAGTTTACTTCCATGGCCTTTTTTCAGTCACTTGTTGCTTGAGAAGTCAGCTGTTATTGCCCCAGGGCACTGAGATGAACACCCCTCCTCTGCAAGTAGAAAGGGGCCATGCTCTCTAATTTGAGAGGAGCTTAGCACTGAAGCATCTTTTCAATCAGCATTACTGGCTTTATTTCTATGCCAGGTACTACCTGTGATGTGAAGGAGTTTTAGGCACAACTCTCTCTCCACTTGCTTTCTTGAAATAAGTATGTAACACCTTTGTCTTCCACAGGTGAACAAGACATTCAGTCCCCCCTGAATGGAATTCCTGGAAGCATTAATACCCTGCAGAGCAGCAGGAGCTCTCTCACTACCTCTGAAAAGCCAGCAGAGGAGTGGCCGGACTGGAGTGAGCCAGAGGAGGCAGACACCGAGAAAACTGTGAACATTCAAATTCAGCCTCGAGAGCCACAGGGCAGTGTGGGACCTTATTTTGCTGAACATGATGTAGATGAGAAGCCTTGGGATGACTTTGAGCCCAGCAGCCCTAGTCCTGAACTGTCCTTAGGAAATTGCCTTGCTGTGACCCAAGGCGATGCAGTTGAAATGCAAAGGTCTCTGCACCATGCCCCTCAGCTGAGCAAAGAATTCAAAAGCCTCAGACTGAGTCCCCCCCCAAAGTCCTGCCCCAGGAACAGCTGGAGCAAGGACAAGTGGGACCAGCAGGAGCAACTGGGAGAAACTGTGCTGCCAAAAATGACCTTTCGAGAAAGGTTGAAGTCTTCATCAGAGCCTGGCCTAGGAGAAGAATTCACAATCAAAGTGAAGAGGAAACCCATGCACGACCCAGAGCTGGACTGGTTTGCTGACATGATCCCAGACATTAAACCGTCTTCAGCTGCCTTGATTTTACCTGAAGCGAGAACAGAAGTGGTTGTTTCCAGTCACTCTGATGCAGTATCCAGCAGAGAAGGTGCCTCCCAGAATGTGCTGTTTTCATCCAAATTTGCAGCAGCTGATGTCATTGAGGTAAGAGGCTTAGGCAGTGGGGCTTAAATGACTGCACTCTTGAAAGGATCCTGAAGCATGTTGTAGCACCAGCTGGCTCCCTAATCAGATGATGGACAACCTGAGGAAGTAGTAGCAGCATATGCCCATACAGTTAAGTCTTTATGTGTGAATACAAGATGCTGAGCTCTGAATGATGCATCAGGCACCACGTAGTTCTGTGTGCCATTACTACAGCAGTAAGAGAGCTCTGTGAATAAACAGTGAGGGAATGGACTTAACATAGAATCATAGAATAGTTAGGGCTGGAAAGGACCTTAAGATCACCTAGTTCCAACCCCCCTGCCATGGGCAGGGACACCTCATGCTAAACCATGCTGCTACTCAAGGCTCTGTCCAGCCTGGCCTTGAACACTGCCAGGGATGGAGCATTCACAACCTCCCTGGGCAACTCATTCCAGTGCCTCACCACCCTAACAGTAAAGAACTTCCTCCTTATATCCAATCTAAACTTCCCCCAAGTTTTAACCTGTTACCCCTTGTCCTATCACTACAGTCTCTAATGAAGAGTCCCTCTCCAGCATCCCTATAGGCCCCTTTCAGATACTGGAAGGCTGCTATGAGGTCTCCACACAGCCTTCTCTTCTCCAGGCTGAACAGCCCCAACTTTCTCAGCCTATTTTCATACGGGAGGTGCTCCACTCCCCTGATCATCCTCGTGACCCTTCTCTGAACTTGTTCCAACAGTTCCATGTCCTTTTTATGTTGAGGACACCAGAACTGCACACAATACTCCAGGTGAGGTCTCACAAGAGCAGAGTAGAGGGGCAGGATCACCTCCCTCAGCCTGCTGGTCATGCTCCTTTTGATGCAGCCCAGGATACAGTTTGCTTTCTGGGCTGCAAGCCCACACTGCAGCCACCTCATGTTCATTTTCTCATCGACCAGCACCCCTAAGTCCTTCTCTGCCCAACCTGTAGCTGTGCCTGGGATTGCTCCGACCCAGGTGTAGGACCTTGCACTTGGCATGGTTAAACTGCATGAGGCTGGCATCAGCCCACCTCACAAGTGTGTCAAGGTTCCTCTGGATGGCATTCCTTCCCTCCACCTTATGAACCGAACCACACAGCTTGGTGTCATCAGCAAAGTTGCTGAGGGAGTATTCAATCCCAATGTTGAACCAGACCAGTCCCAACACCAGTCCCTGAGGGACACCACTCGTTACTGGTCTCCAGCCAGACATTGAGCCATTGACCACAACTCTTTTGTGTGTGGCCATCCAGCCAGTTCTTTATCCACCGAGTGGTCCATCTATCAAATTGATGTCTCTCCAATTCAGAGACAAGGATGTCGTGTGGGACAGTGTTGACCGTTTTGCACAAGTCCAGGTAGATGACATCAACTGCTCTACCCCTGTCCATCAGTTCCGTAGCCCCACCACAGAAGGCCACCAAATTGGTCGGGCAGGATTTCCCCTTAGTGAAGCCATGCTGGCTGTCACCAAGCACCTTGTTGTTTTTCATGTGCCTTAGCATGCCTTCCAGGAGAATCTGCTCCAAGATTTTGTCAGGCACAGAGGTGAGACCGACTGGTCTATAATTCCTTGGGTCATCCATTTTCCCCTTCTTGAAAACGGGGGGTTATATTATCCTTTTTCCAGTCATCGTGAACTTTACTTGACATGTACACTACTACAAGCACTGCTGGAATTTTAACTCCAGCTTTTAAGTTGTGCTGCTGTTTCCTGGTTGCAGGACCCTACACTATGCTAGAGAGAGGGTTGATTTGTTGGACAGGTAGAACAAGGCTGGAATCCTGTCTGCTGACCAGGCATGGCACTGTGCACAAACAGAAGGAGGATGCTCAGGATTTAATTATACTCCTAGCTCTTCTAGAAAAACCAAATAGCATTGTAAATAAAATACCAGGAAACCAGAACTTCTGGATTACAAAGCAAAGCTTTTGGGGGACTCTTTTTTTTTTTTTCGGAAAGCATAGCTGAGACGTTTCTCCACTTCAGAGAACCAGGAAGGTTAGAAAACTGCCTTTTTAAGGAAGCAGGTAAATCCCTTTAGTCCCATCATTAACACTCTGGAGACTGCTGCTGTTTATGAGGGATGGTAGCACTCCCAACACCCCATTGAATATACAGCTCTGTTAGGGAATAGGTGTTGATTTCAAGTTGTTTTGCTAAGTAAGCCTCAAGAGAGCTACTGCAGGGATAGCAGGTGGTATGGGGAGATAAGCTTGGGATGTAAACTGAAGTTGTTTATGACATTTGAAAATGGTACACTGTTTCACAGTGACAGAAGCACTGTTGTCATAACCCTATTTTGGGAAGGGGGGGAGGGAAGAGTCAACCACTGTAGTGCAAGCAGTGCTGTGGAATAGAAGAGCAGCTGTCAGGGGACAGGTGAGATCAAACTCATTGTGCTAGAATACAGCAGGACAAGGGCTGTATCCTGGGGGGAAAGACATCATTTAGTTTACAGTATCCTGTTCTTAATAGGAGGTGGGTTTATTACAAACAGTTCCTGCTTTAATTTTAGGAAAATTATATAAGACTCTCCCTGTTACCTTCCTCTTGTCTTTAAGATGTTTCCTTTTTGTAGTTAAAAGTTCATTAAGACAGAAAGCTGCAACTACTGGCACGTCATTTTTCACCTTATGAGGGGCTTTCAGCATTCTGGATCCATGTCTTGCTCTGCTAGTACAAGCTACACAGGCTACAGCCTGGCTCCTGTGCTGTGCTAAGTACAGAAGTACAGTACATGTGCCTTAATGTTGGTAATTTTATGTGATTCTAGGCTGAAGCTGCAGGCTGGGGTGAAGAGGAGGAGTTGAACTGGGAAGATGATACTAACTGGTAATGGGACTGAAAGAAAGGCAATTTATGGTGTGCTGGATTCTGTAAGAGAAGTCATGGCTTCCCCACTACAACGGATAAGTACCTCAGCACTGTGTTTGCCAGAAGGCAGACGCTTGCAGCAGCAGCCAGCAAGATCCCATGGGGCCTGATCTCTTGCCATGGATATTCCTCTCCAGTCTGTGCCAAAAACTGCAGGGGTGAGGCTTACATTCAAGCAACGTGCCCAGCTGTGGTGCATGCCGCTGCTACCAGAGAGGAATGGTGTGATGGGTGTGTTGGTGCCGACATGCTATTGGAGGCCAAGAGTGGTGTAAGCAATTGTTCCAGAACTCATCCCTGCTCTGAAAAACTGATGACAATAAATTAAAGTCACACTGAGTTCCTTGGTTAATGTGTCTTATTTTTGCTCCAGAAAAGCTCTTAGAAATGGCTCCTCTCAACTTTCTAGCTAAAAGATGCTTTTAAGATAAATGTACAGTTTACTCCTTTATTTCTGTTTGTATAGTTCTGTCAGTGAATGGCACAGGAGGTGCTAGGAAGTGTGCAGTGAAGGACCAATGAACACAAACTGCTTAAGCACTACATTCTTTCTCCTCGTAACTGTGACCAATAAAGATTGTTTTTAAAAGATGACCCTAGCATGGAGTGGAACCAGCAGCAGAGGTGTATGTTCAGAGACAGCAGACAGCCTTAAATTGTTATACTTGAATGTATTTTAAAATTAAGATAAAAACACCTACTGCCTGGTCACCTGTACAGGACAAAGGTAACTTACAACAGGTTCAAACATCTTAGTATTCAAAACACAATCTCATGAAATGGTTAGCACCACACAGTAGCTTAGAAGAGGAAGCTATACAATGGCAATATACAAAATCACAGCTCAGAGGCATAGTAGTGACCATTAAAATGTATCAGTCCTTCCAGCCAGTTGTGAAAGACAGGCCAACATCTCACACCCCATTTTGTTTTGGCACATTAACTGAGACACAGCAGCACAGTAGAGCATTGCCCTGTATCATTTTTTTTCTTCTCCAGAAATTGTGGTACGAGAGCATCTCTTCCTTATGAGGGGGAGCTGAGACGTTTTATTATCTTTAATCCCTGTTGAGCACACCTTACCGTACACTGTCTCTGAGGATGGCTATAGCTGTGTGTAGAGCCTCCAGTTTCACTGCAAGCCAAGCAGGGGGTGATCCCTTCTGGAGCAGCAGCTTCACAGCCTCCACTGCCCCCTCCATAGTGCCTATCGCTGACTTATACTGCTCCTCAGAAGGTGGGTGACAAGCTCTTTTTGCCAGAGGCTGCAGATTTAAGTAAACATGAGACATTATTTATAAGCCTCTGCACAAGTGATCAGTCTTCATCTAAATGCAGGAAAACCCTTAGATGGAAAACAGCTGCAAGAGACTACCTTGTCTTGTGAGAGCTTTTGCTGTCTGGCAGGCAGTACAGAGCATTCAAGCGTAACACTATGGGCCAGGAGTGCACGCGACCTTTTATCTTAGAACATGGAGGGCAGCAAGACCATCTTGAACCTCTTTAGGTACTTCCTGGAACTAACAAATCAACAATAGAGCCCAGAGAGTTTAAAAGTACACATACCTCTCCTGTTGATTCCAGTTCTGCACCCATTTTCATCAGCTGTGCACTGCAGGTAATCCTTTCTTGCTTCATGCGTTCTGTTCGTGCTTCTGTTGTCTCCTCTACCTGCCTCGTCTAGGGAGAACGTCACAGGAGACGTAACTAAACCAAGGCAACATTACCAGCCTTCATAGACTCCATTTATGTGCCAGAACAAAAGGGCAGGAGAGATCTTAACAAGCGGTTTGAAGTGAATCTAACTTCTCACACACTTGTGAGCAGACTGAAGTTATCTACAACTCTGGTGTAGCATCAGTTCTGGCAGCTTATCAGTTGTTTTGCTAATTACCTGCTTGTCAAATACTGTTCATCCACATAGCCCTGTCTTAGGTTACAGCATGCTAACCACCCTCCTTTCCACTGTGTTCTGCATTAATAGCCATCTGCTCTTAAGGGAATTTTTTCTAATATGCAAAAAAGATGGATATGTTTCATATGCGTTCATTTGGCTTTCAGAAACTAATCCAAGAGAAACAGGGAAGGATATCACACAAACCAAATGATGAAATCCTTGTCTTGTTATTGGATAACTTATCTGCTTACAACAACTGTTCCATTCGATTGTTTGTTTTGTTCAAGGAGGGAAAAGTGAAGCGCTTAAAGTTGGAACATAGTAGAAGAGCAGCATGCAGAGGAATGGCAGTTGTTAATTCTGATTAAAGCAAGTAGGAAACTTCAACCAGATCAACAATTTATTTTAAAGTTACTTATTTTATCACCGTGCAGATAATGCAGGTGTAGACATAGACATAGGCTGTGTACTGTGTATAACGGACGTGCGGAACATCAACTAAGAAAGCAGTAAAGTGACTCAGCAACATACATACCTTCGCCAGAAAACTAATAACTTTGTTCTTAGTTTCTTCAGAATCAAGGCATTGAGGAACGACATCTTCATGGCTTGTTTCCTGTCAAAAATGTTGAGTAATCATTGTCTAGTACACTCATATTAACAGAGGAATAGACAAAGTAAAAATGTTTCCCTGACTGTCCCTCTCCTGTTGCAACCAATCTAAGGAACCAATGTTTTATCTTCCTTCACTTCCAGGTTGTGAAATCACTTGCAGCTGCACGAGGCCTCATTACTTTTGATGTGCAATAGCATCTGTAATACTGAGATCCAAGCTAGTCATGGAAGAGCAGCAAATATTTAAGACAGAATTTCTGTACAATAAAAATTAACAGAGCCAAATACACACATCCAGAGTTCTGCTATACTTACCTCTGCAAAATGTGTGAATGCCTCCAATGCGTGCTGATGAATCAGCCAGGTCTGGTCAGCCAGCAGAGAAGCAAATACACATGACAACTGGGGTACAACTTGCCTCTGAAAGAGGAACAAGTATCTATCAGTTCTGAAGAGTTAGTTGTGCATATCTTACCATCATGATTTGTTATTAAAGAATTGCTCTAATGTCAAGGGACAGGTTTGTGAAATGAGAGTGACTGCCTTGTCTGGCAAAAAAAAACCAACACTCTAAGGGAGGTGACATGTTATGTTCTTTCTTCTTGGAGGGTTGTATGTCAGTCCGTTCTAACTGTTGAGAAGCAACAAGCAAATGAATAAACCAAGCACCTTGCAAGCACTCAGCATGTCTCAATGAAAAACAGAACTACCACAGGCCATTAATAAAGTCTCCAAGATTATTATATCCTTGCACTCCTGTATGCAAAGAACTTGATCCTCAATATTTAAATAAATATCTTTTCATCCAAAGTCTGCAACTTATTTCACTAAGGCCACAATTATATTCACCTGTGCTTCTTGTGGTATAAAGACCTTTCCCATAGAAGAGAGAAAATCCACCATTGCTAGACGAACATGGTCTGGGGGATCCAACTGGAAAAGGGAAGACTGCAGGGCAAATACCTGCAGAAAAGGAACCCAATGAAGCTTCATCACACAGATTCCAGATGAAAACTGTTCTGTCTCATCTTTAAATCTTAGGACATTGATCTCAGAAAACTGGACTGAAAACAAAAGGAATGCTACACTTCAATAAAACTGGCTAGGATAAAGCTGCTGCAGTATTCACTTTAGAAAGAAATTAGCATGCTCTATAGCCTATTCATAGATCTCAACTGTCTTACAGAGTAATGGGATTCAAAAACAGTGTTCACCACAGTGCCGTATACTTGGTTTAAAGATCAGGAAAGTAATCAAGGAAGAAATAAAATTAGGAATCTCCATGTGTTAAGAGTAGGTCAGACCATGAAATAACTCATTTGGGATTTCATTAAATCACAAAGACCTTAGTTTTCATGAAGTAATTTATTCATAGATAGGATTTGTTTTGGTGTTTTACCTGAGTAATCAGTTGAGCATCTAATGCTTGGACGAAAAATTCCAAAAGGTGAAGTAATAAACACACTGTCTGCTGGAGACATGGCTCATCTGAGACCTTTAACACATCACAACATATTAGTAACATTGCATTCTTATGAACTAACTACTTCAGAAAGAATTTTAAATTATGGTAGCGTTCCAAACTTCTTAGCTAACTTTACACAGAGAAAAGAACACATCATAAACAGCAGAATATTAAAATAGTCATATCAATATTTATAGGTAGTCACACTTTTAAAAGACCCTTTTCTTAGATTTTTTTTTTTGTATTAAGAATATTTATTGCCTATTCCTCATCGCCATCCTCCACTCACTAATATAAGCACCTAATAGTTATATGAAGTATTTCTTTTCACTTCTTAGTTGCCAAATGTCTTCAAAGAATGGCTGAGGTTGGAAGAGACCCCTGAAAGAGCACATTGTTGGCTCTTCTTCACCCCCACTCTCAAACTTTCATTTTTAATCCTTTTTTTCTTTACTGCAGCTGCAGACATGAACAGGTATACAGTTGCAAAGAAATCACCTTACCCCTTGTTCTCAAATCTGGGAGGAAGGTTGCTAGCTCTATGGGTTTTCATGTGTGTTAAGCTATACACTAATTAAATCACCACAAATTTTGTTCACATTCTCAAGAACATTAAAAACAGGCCAGTTCTGTAACTGGTATGAACCAGAATGATGTATTTCAGGCTTCCTGTTAAGCTAGTCTGATTCTGACACTAAATAACAGATGAAGAAACAAGGAACCATGTATGTAATGCTCAGGAAAATTCAAACTCCTCTTCCCAGAGCACATGCCTGTCTAATACATAAAGCAGCTGAGAGCAGATGGGCAGCACAGTTACACAGCTTTACAGAAATGGTCTAATCCAAGTAAAACAACAACTTAGTAACAAACACATAATGAAACAGCACCAGCCTCGCAAAAACATCATGCTTTCACGACTGGAGCAGCAAATTCTCTTACCTGCTTAGCCTGGAGAAAAGTCCAGAACTGACCAAGCACCCCCAAGACAGATGTCTGAAGCTCTGCCTCCAGAGTGTCATCAGCAAAACTGCAGGCAGCCAGCAGCACAGAAAGGGCAGTATTCTAGTAGGAAAAAAACTGTGTAAGAGTGACCAAAAAAACCTACATGTAAACCAAACCAAAACCCCTGGCTCCTATTAAACATCTGAAATGATACAAGATGGCAAGAAGCCCAATGTGCTCTGTCAGCTGTACAGTACAGCTAATCCGCTGGGCCAGCAGCCAACAAAGCTTCCAAAGCAAGGAAACCATCCGTTACTTCTGTGAGTTTCACACAGTGCTGCAGCCATTAGCTGCACTGGCAGGCGATAGCTGGCAGCAGACAATTCACGTGGAAGTCCCTGGTTTCTCACACTCCTT